TTTTGTCCCCCCCTTATCTCCTCTCTAACCTCCACTATCACATTGCTCCCTCACGGACCAAATTTCTCCTCGCAATTCTCTTTCTTTCTTCAAAGAGGAGAGTGCAGACACTCTTAGAAACTCTCTTCATTTCTTTCAACGCTCTTGTTTCTTGAAGTTGTTCATGGAAAATACTTGTCATTCCCGCGACAAGTGCTTTCTGTGTGCATACTTATGCTTGTTTCTACTAGTTTTTTTGCCCCAGTTTGCTTCGAGCCAAAAATGGGACGGTGTAGTTGTCACCCAATCAGATTATCGATCTCTTCGAGCTATAAAGAATGAACTGATTGACTTCAAAGGGTTTTTACGTAGCTGGAATGATAGTGGATATGGAGCTTGCTCTGGTAGGTGGGCAGGAATCAAATGTGTCAAAGGACAGGTTATTGCCATCCAGCTTCCTTGGAAGGGACTAGGTGGCAGAATCTCGGAGAAGATTGGTCAGCTTCAAGCACTCAGAAAGATTAGTTTACATGACAATGTTCTTGGTGGTACTGTCCCTTCTTCTCTTGGTTTTCTTCGCAATCTTAGAGGGGTTTACCTCTTCAACAACCGGCTTTCAGGTTCTATTCCTCCCTCACTTGGTAACTGTCCTGTTCTTCAGAGTCTTGATGTAAGTAACAATTCACTCATTGGTACAATTCCTCCAAGTCTTACAAACTCTACTAAGTTATATAGACTTAATTTGAGCTTTAATTCGTTAATGGGGTCGATCCCAGTTGGTCTTACTCAATCCCCTTCTCTCATATTCCTTGCTATCCAACACAACAACCTCTCTGGGTCAATCCCAGATTCTTGGGGGAGTAAGGGGAACTATTCTTCTCTCCTTCAGTTCTTGACCCTTGATCATAATCGCATTTCTGGAACTATTCCTGTTAGTCTTAGCAAGTTGGCTTTACTTCAAGAGATTTCTCTTAGTCACAATCAGCTTTCTGGGGCCATACCTTATGAAATGGGGAGTCTCTCAAGGCTCCAAAAGCTAGATATTTCAAACAATGCTTTCAGTGGAAGCATTCCATTTCGCTTCTCCAATTTAACCTCGTTAGTCTCTCTGAATCTTGAGGGAAACCGTCTCGACAATCAGATCCCAGAAGGTTTTGATAGATTGCATAACCTCTCAATGCTCAACCTGAAAAACAATCAGTTCAAAGGCCCCATCCCAGCTTCTATTGGAAACATTTCCAGTATCAACCAGCTTGATTTAGCCCAAAATAATTTTAGTGGAGAAATTCCAGCTTCTCTTGCTCGCCTAGCCAATCTCACTTATTTCAATGTTTCTCACAACAACCTATCTGGTTCTGTTCCCTCTTCTCTTGCTAAAAAGTTCAATTCAAGCTCCTTTGTGGGAAACCTTCAGCTATGTGGCTATAGCATTTCAACCCCATGTCCTTCACCCCCTCCAGAAATTCTTCCAGCTCCAACAAAAGGATCACCGAAACATCATCACCGAAAACTTAGCACCAAAGACATCATCCTCATAGCGGCTGGTATCCTCTTAGTTGTGCTGCTGCTTCTCTGTTCCATTCTGCTGTGTTGTTTGATGAAGAAAAGGTCTGCTTCTAAAGAAAAGAGTGGCAAAAATACTACGCGGGGGCTCCCAGGGAAAGGTGAGAAAAAAGGTGCTGCGGCGGGTCCTGAAGTTGAATCTGGTGGTGAAATGGGTGGGAAGTTAGTCCACTTTGATGGCCCATTTTTGTTTACAGCAGATGACTTGCTGTGTGCAACTGCGGAGATAATGGGGAAGAGCACTTACGGAACAGCATACAAGGCAACATTAGAGGATGGAAATCAAGTTGCAGTGAAAAGGTTGAGGGAGAAGACTACAAAGGGACAGAGGGAGTTTGAGACTGAGGCTGCTGCTCTTGGAAAGATTAGGCACCCAAATCTCTTAGCACTAAGGGCTTATTATTTAGGTCCCAAAGGAGAGAAGCTTCTTGTTTTTGACTACATGCATAAAGGGAGCCTTGCATCCTACCTCCATGGTAAGTTAATTCTACCAGTTTTAATGTCATCTACACTATCTGCACATTTAATGATTCATTTAATGATTTAGGAATCATTTTAGAGAACCAAAATCAAGATGAAATAAAAATTAAGAAGGCTGAAAGTAGATGAAACATTTGGTTTGAAACAAAGGAAATTTATGATCATGCTTTCATGAATCTTAAATAGCCAAAAGAAGCTGTTAATGATTGTATTGAACTTGTGAGGTACAGTTTTGGTGTAAAAGATGAGTTTTGAGCAAGACCTGTCTATTATGCTTCATGGGAACATTGATGGCAAGGATTGAATGAAAAATTTAAAGAAAAAGTAATAACTGGCCTTGTCTACCTTAATCTTTCTTTTGCAGCTCGTGGACCTGAAACCACTGTCAATTGGCCAACAAGGATGAACATAGCCATCGGCGTTGCGCGTGGAATCAATCACCTCCACAGCCAAGAGAACATCATTCATGGGAATCTCACATCAAGCAACGTATTACTGGACGAGCAAACTAATGCACACATTGCAGACTTTGGCCTCTCCAGGCTCATGACTGCTGCTGCCAACACGAATGTGATTGCCACTGCTGGAACACTCGGCTATCGCGCACCAGAGCTCTCAAAACTCAAGAACGCCAGCACGAAGACTGATGTGTACAGCCTCGGGGTGATCATTTTAGAGCTTTTAACTGGGAAATCACCAGGTGAACCAATGAATGGCATGGATTTGCCACAATGGGTTGCATCAATAGTGAAGGAAGAGTGGACTAATGAAGTCTTTGATTTAGAGATTATGAGGGATGCACAAACTATAGGTGATGATGAGTTGCTTAACACTTTGAAATTAGCTCTGCATTGTGTTGATCCCACACCAGCAGCTCGTCCTGAAGCCGAACAAGTTGTCCAGCAACTTGAGGAGATTAAGCCAGAGCTAGCTGCTGCTGCTGCTCGTGCTGATGAAGGAGACGAAGTCCCACCAACAACTGAATAAAGAGTATCCTATTCTTTTTGCGTGCAAGAAATAATGTTTTGTTACAGTTTATTTGTGCTGCTTTACAAGGTGGTGCGCTCTATGATAGTGGGGGGAGGGGGTAGTAATCAAATTCTTTAATTCTTATATTCTTGTCTACTGTATGTATATACAAGACAGTAAGTTCTTTTGAAAAATGTAATCTTTTTTTATTGGAATAATAATGTATTATTTCAATCCATCATTCTTTTAGTAAGCAGAAAAAATCTTAGATTATCAAAATTATCAAATTTCGTAATTGTGTGTTTTTTTCTTATATTTAGATGGTGTTTGGTTATGCTAGTGCGGCTATGGTTGAAAAAAAAAATAGTATAACACATGTTTGGTTAATCACTAACCTTATATATATATATATTTTTTTATGTTGGTCTCAATTCAAACTGCAATTGAATTGTAAAAAGTGAAAAGCAATTACGCATTACTTTTCATGCGTTTCTTATCTCTCTCATCATCAACAATTACGCATTGCTTTTCATGCGTTTCTCATCTCTCTCATCATCACCAATTTACAATTACATTCCCAACTATCCTCACCCAATTTCCAATGGTCATAAAAACTTAACAAATTGTTTACAGAAGATTGTAGATCAATGTTACTATTGATGTAAACTCCTATTTTTAACCTTTTCTATACTATTCTTTCATGTGTTTTAGCTCTCTCTCACCACCAACACTTTCCTAGTAACCACGGTCAATTACGGTCCTCTACCTCATAAATTTTTCAGTTACGGTTGCAGATCAATGTTAGCATTGATGAACTAAACCCCAATTTCCTTCCCCAAACTATTCTCCTCTTTCGTCTTTTGCTACAACCCCGTTTCTATTTTGCCCTAAAACCACCAACGCATAGGACGACGCTAGAGCAAGCTTCTTCCCCTCTATCCTTTTTTTTCCAAACGAAGATCAAAAACACAAACCTTCATCGATTTGTCCCTCTATTGTTACAATTGCATAAAAACCCAAGAGGTTCATGTTGGGAAAGGTCCACGAGCGAGATACTTGTAAGTACTATGAGTTCCCCTTGTCAATTTTGTTTAACATGTTGCTTAAAATCTAATTTCTTTAATGGGTCTCTATTGTTTTTTGTTTTTGCAGAACAAAGTTACAGCACTGTAGTAGTTTGCAGAACAAAAAGAGAGACTGAGGAAGTTCTTGCCTTATCTCCATCTTCATTTTTGTTTTTTTAGATGAAAAATTGCATGTTTGTGTTACTATATGCTCGATTACTGTTAACACTGCAATTATTAAATTGATCTATAAATTTCATTGTTGTTGTTGTTTGTGTTCTATTTACTGTGCCTTCATCAATTTTTTTGAATTTATAGCAAATTTCATTGCTTCTTTTGCTTGTCTTCTGCTTTGCATATGTTTTTAATTTTTTTTACTTGAAAACCTGCATTTTTGTGATGCTTCTGTGTACTGTGTTACCCATGTTAATTTTGTAATAATTGTAGCTCAAAATCTAATTTATGTTCTAGATCTTCATTGTATCTGTTTGCAGGACAAAGCTGTAGAACCGTGCTGGTTTGGACACCTAAACAGATAGACTGAGGTAAGTTCCCGCCTTATCTCCGTCTTCATTTTTATTTTTTTCAAAATAAAAAATTGCATGTCTGTGTACCTGCATGATCAATTATTGTGTGTTCTACAATTAACAAATTTCATGGTTACTGTTGATTGTCTTCTGTTTATTGTGCCTTCGTCAATTGTTTTGAATTTAGCAAAATTTAATTGCTTCTATGTACTACTTGTCTGTTGTTTTTCTTTGTTTAAATCTGGTTTCATTTTTTATGTCTACTACTAGCTGACGGTGCTGCTACTAGATTATTTGCTTACCAGAAATAATGTGATGCTTTGAAATTTTATCTATGTGTTGTTCTTCATGGTCTGATATGTTTACTATGCATATTGATGTTGTTTCTATTTGAGCAACCATAGATTTCTTTATTGTGCATGTGTTTATTGTAATTGTAATTAATGCCTTGTTAGCATGTCGTGTAGGGTTACTTTTATTTCTACTTTTGTAGTCAAAATCAGAATTTTGAGTCTCCTTTTGTGTGTTTGCATGCTACAAAAGAAAGCTGGGTTACTTTGAATGTATAAAAAGATTTTGTTATGTTTGTTTTTTTCCCTCTGTTTTTAGCTTCCAAACAACATGATGACGATGAAGTGTTGCTTGATAATTCAAATATTATATCATGACTGAAACTGAGTTTTTTGAACAGTTAAAAATTAATGGGTTTCAATAAATTTTCATTACAAATTAGCAAGAATATTCTCATTCAAATACATGCATGGTTAATGTTTGTTGCTAATCACACAGCTTTTGTAAATACTGAACATTGAGTTTTATTATTGTTTTAGTCCACGTTTTATGTATGTGCCACAATGTAATTGATATCATTGATTAATTTTAAACTTTTGTTAAATATGTTAAAAGATATCATGGAAGGTCTTGAATCTTTTAATAAGGCTGCTTGGACAAAGAAAATGTTACATATATTTTGTGATATATGCATTAAGGCAATTGATATGGGAATGAGACCTAATACTCATTTCGATAAAACAGGGTGGAAATTTTTTATAACATCATTCAAAGAACAAACTGGTCATGTATTCATTAAAACACAATTGAAAAACAAATGGGATGGATGCAAAAAGAATTGGAGGATATGGAATAAGCTAGTTTCTAAAATTGGTGTTGGCTGAAATAATGAATTAGACACAATTTCAACTAGCGATGAGTGGTGGAAACAAAAAATTCAGGTACATTCCTTGTCATCTTAACAATTTCTTTTATTTTTGTCAAATTTCAACACCAAAATTTTACTAGTCTTGATCCTTCATTACTTGATTTAATTTATATACAAGAAATTATAGGAGATAAAAAAATTCAGACATGTAGGTATTGAGCAGTCTTTGAAGAATAAATTTGACCGAATGTATTCCAATATTGTCGCAACTAGAGCGTTTGCATAGGCTCTTTCATCAGGTGTACCTACTAGTAGTGATGTTGATCCTGGTACAAGCAATGTTGATATTGCTCATGATGATTTGAAAGAGGGCAGCGGTGATTTGGAGGAAGATGTGATTCCAGATTTCCAAGCTAACATGGCTCGAATGGTTGAAGGGATAAATATGTCTAGCAGTAACAACACAAAAAGTGGTGGAAAAAAAAAGAGCGAGATCATTATGATGTGCAAGGTAAAAAGAAGAAAACATCTGGAATTGGTGTTCAACTGATGTCAAGGTGTAATCAACTACTTGAGAGTATGTCGACTAAGAGTGATTCCATGTCTGTTAATATGGATCGCGAAGGCTATAATATTCCCGAGGTGATGACTGAGCTGCACTCAATTCCTGGAGTTTCAATTGAAGATAAGTTCCATGATTTTGCTATGAAGTATTTGAGTTTAAGAAGGAAAAGAGAAATGTGGGCTAGTATGGTTGATAAGGAGCAGAAGCTGAGATGGATGACATTGTATTATTACATTTTCTTAACCGTTAATCAATTAACTATTCACTTGCTTAATGTATTTATACAAGCTTATTTTATTGTTGCAGAATAATGGGATGCCAGTTTTAAAAAAGAGTTTTTTTCATTTGCCAAAGTTTATCCGAGTCATTGTATTCTTCCAAATTTCATGTTGAGATATATGGGCATTTTCATTTGCAGTAATTTACGTACTATTGTATTTATATTAAATTATTTTTCGAGAGCTAATATACTTGCACAAGGATATTGTTAGTTTTTAATGTTGTATTTTATCAATGAATTAAAACTGTCATTTCTGTTGTTATTAATGTTAAATGGTTGACTATTGGATTGAATTTGTTGGTAATTTTCCTTCATTGTATTGTTCCTTGAAGGTCTTGAATATTGAGTGTTGCTGGTAAAATGCATGTTCTATCATAATATACCATGTGCAGCCCTGTTTGTTTTCTTTTATACTATGAGTTGATGGGAGTTGCTGCCTTGTGTGTCCAGTTGTAATTGTAATAAACCATATGCAACTACTATGTGAAATGTTGATGTGTTTTCTTTTCTGCCATGAGGTGATGAGAGTTGTAGCCTTGTGTGTGAATTTATATTCATTGATATACCATATGCAGCTACTATATGAACATTTACTTGTTTTTTTTTTTTTTTTTTTTTTTCTGTTATGAGCTAATAAGTGCTGCAAGTAATTGAGATACCATGTGCAACTACTATTTGCTTGTGTATTGTGATAAAGAGCATTTTTTTTTTGTCGTGAGAATTGATGGAAGCTGATGCCTTGTTTACTAATACTATTCATTGCTGTTAACATGATTGTTTAAGCTACTATGTACAAGTAAGTTTGGAATATTGTCTCAGCTATTATGTGCATGAGAGTCAATGCATGTGCTACTGTAAATGTTGTTTGAGCTACTAGATTTGTCACCGATTATTAGAATACATGCTGCTCTCTTTAGTGCGTTGCTGTTGGAGTTCATATATATAAATTGTGTTTACAGTTCTTGAAATACAATATTTATTACTTTTTAGATTATTTCTGTACATGTTGATGTGCACTGTTATGGTGATAAGAAAAGAAAAAAAAAAGTGGGCGAAAGGAATCTTGAATAATAAAATGAGAACAAAAGGTCAAAAAATACATGTCAGTATATATTAGCTGTAAAATTAACATTATATGTTACTTTTACTGTCTATACGTGATAATGTACTTATATTGAAAGCTAAATAAAATAACTTTTAAAAAAGATGTAAAAACAGTGAGTTTTTTTTATAGAAAGAGGATTATTTGTAAGTCAACTTTCAAATAACTTTTTTGCTTTATAACAAACCTCTCAAACCTTAACTGCATCATATAAGCAAGTGGAACACTATTTTTGTTGGCTTTACAGGTATGAAAAAACTTATGTTGCACCAACTATTTGATAGTTTTTTTTATTAAATGATATTTAATTATTTAAATATTTTTATTAACAACATATATATATATATATTTATATATATATTTATATAATTGGAGTTATAGATGATTCACGGTTTAATGACATATTTAATGGGGATTTCAATGGCAATTATAATAATATAATAAACCGCATTGTAGACCACATTAATTATCCTAGTTGTGAAGGTAGTGGTGCCTTATTTTCTGGTGCTGGAGATGACAATGATGGAAACGATGTCGATGATAGTAATGATGATAGT